TACTGATATTAAATGGAAATTAGTCCAATAAATGTGTGTCTGCCAGCTACTGCCAAGTTTATGAAGCAAAACAAGCCATCAAGCACGAGATTTAAAAAACTTAATGGTAAATATTTATTAGAAAGCATCAAAACTAGCTGTGCACCCAATATCTTGATTGCACAATACAAACTAATTGCACATTGGATCAGTGCTCAGGTAATGCTTGAAAAGGTTCACTGGCTGGTCAGTAGTCTGGAGCATTTGCAAACCAGTAGGCATGAAAAAAAGCTCTGAAATTATAAAATCTACACTAGAAATACACATACAGATTATTTATACTGTTTCAATGACTTGTTTCCAAACTCATCATAAGTCCTTTATGTAATTATGTTTGCATGGCGAAAAACAATATCAATCATAGTATCAGTATTTTTTTCAATATGTGGAAAACACCACATATATTTATTAATTATGAAGATCCGGGCTTATGAATCGAGAGCTTTGCATAAGCATAGTTTAATTGTTATACATACGCTATAATGATAAACATATACAGTGGCGCCGTGGGACCCATGTTTTTTGGGGGGCCAAGGGCAGTACTTTTCCGACAAACCGGGAAAATAGTTTCCGACAGGAACGTTGCAAAAAAATTTTTTTCCTGAAAGTTTTTTTAGGCGACCCCCCCCCGTCGCCAAAAAAAAAATCTGTCAGTGTTAGGGGTCAAAAAATTTTTCCAGACATACCAAAATTTTTCATTACATCTAAAAAATTTTCCAAACATCACCAATTTTCTCCATTTATCCAAAATTTTCAGAATATACCAACGTCGGCAACTTTGACAATTTTCGACAACGTTCACAATTTTCCAAAAATTTCCGACACACTAATAATACACACTCTAGAACATTTTCATCTTAACATATTACAGAGTTTAAAGATACTTTAAAACCAAACATAATAAAAGTAAAATTTTAATTAGCTAACGTTTCGTTGTTTACAATACAATTGCCAATATATTAAAGGGGAAGTCAAGTCCGTTCTGCGCATTGGTTCTGCTCATAACAATGTGAGGACCTCTAATGTGAACATTGCCCAAATTTCGAATGTTTCGAAATTTTTCTGAACATAAACTCTATTTCATATTCATTTAGAAGCATAGCGAACCAAAATGGTGTTAGATATTCAGACAGTACATCATATTTTAAAAAGTACAGCAGTTTAAAATGTAAACAAACCGTTTGTTTACATTACGGACTTGACTTCCCCTTTAAAAATAAAAAAAATTTAAAAAATTATTTTCAATTGCCACATATTACAGAGTGTACAATTACACAACTAACATATATATATATATAACAGGGCAGATCATCGATGTCCATCTTGTAGAACTGAAGTATCTGATGCAATGCCAATGGTATGTTGTATATAGATAAAATGAAATTTTGCAATTGTTTTATTTCATTGGTGGTTATAGTGGCGGTGCTCTATAATTTTAATATTCCAAATTAATTTCTAGATTTTTGAAGACCATGCCGCGAGAAGAATGATCCAACAACTGGAAGTAAATTGTTGTAATGAAGGCTGTAGTTGGCAGGGATGTCTGAGTTCTCTTTTACAGGTACAATGTCATATTTTGATCTTAACCCATTGAGTGGTAGCCAGGGTCTTAGCTGGAAGGCTGTGCTGGCTGTGTTATTGCAGCCAAAAATGGATAGATAAAATGAACATCAGGCTTCACTATTTCTATAGGCTGTGTAAGGTTCGTAAGGGGGAGAGTGCTGCCACTCAATGGGTTAATAAACGAATAGGATTTTTATAGGAATTTTTTGTAAGACGATCTTGCTAGTTCTGAGTTTTCGAAATTGATACATTCGAAAGCATCCTATTACCTATACTAATTCAATCTAGGGTCATCAGAATAGTTGCACTTTTTTGATCCGCAGTGGTGATAATGTCCATCAACTTGATGTGGGAAAACTTGAGCAAAAACTTGAAACACTCATGCTCAAAGTTTCAACTTTGGAAAAGAAGGTACTAACACATCGTGATTGATATTCTATTTCATTGATTTTTGTACATTTGTTTGATGGGTAATTACTTTTGTAAAAATTTTAGCATGATGAACAAAAAAATTTTTAGCATGATGACTTTTGGTACGAATTAATCAGTATTAAATTGCTTCCATGCCGGAAAAAATAATATAGCCATGAATTTATGTTCCATTCATATCTATTCATTAACAGCATGACGAAGATATTAAAGAACTTAAATTAAAGGTAATTACTACATGGTACAATATGTTACACATAAATAGTAATCATTATATATCTGTCTCAAAATTGTTAGAGAAATATTCTTACCCAAAGTATTCTGCCAATTTATTTGCTCACACAAGCCACTTCATTTGAGATATTTGACCAAATTACTCGCAACTCGCTGTGTTTAATAATTTCTGGTCACTTCTGCAAAGGTGATTGATGTATTCATACAAAAAGCTTATCAAGTAATCATATATTGGAGCTGTAATCAAGTTTTCAAAGAATTCATCAAATGACTTACTATCTTTACTAATATTGCATGCAGCATGAAGATGAGATGAAGCAAGTCAAGGCAAAGGTAAAAAAGTGTAAAATATAGTTGTGATTGTGAATTTTTGTCTTGGCATTACTAACTGCAATTTTATTTTTTTTAAGTTAATTTTATGATTTATAATGCCTGGTAAAGCACAACAAATGCTATAATTTAAGACGTAGGAGTTCTCAGACAAGGAATCTTAATGTCACAAACCACGGGAGCTGCGCATGCTCCGCTTGTGGTGCAGCCACCCTTACCTCGCTAGAAACCTGAAGCAACGTACACTTTGAAGGTAATTAAGCAAACCAGAAAGCTTGCTCAAGCAATATCTGACAATGTTTATGGTAAAATTGAAATCTCAGCAGTCATGGGTACAAGATGAAGCTTAGCATTGATTTAAATGAAACGCAGTGTGGTTTCGCCGGCTAATGACATCGGTGTTTACTTAATTTTAATGAATGGTGATCGAGATGTAGCCTAGGCTCAGATTCCAGCCGTTGTGTTCTGCTGGAATCTGAGCTTAGATGTAGCCTTACCCTAGCCTTTTACAAAGCGTTTCACATTTGTTATTGTTGATCAACCATAGGCGTACGGGAGGGTGGGGCTGGGGGGGCTGCAGTCCCCCCCCCCAATTTTTGGAGAATTTGTCTATTCGGGCAAAAATTGTCTTGTCATTCGGGCAACGACGGTCTGGTGGTTAGACGAATATATTGATCCATAAAGCGGAACAGAAGTATTATTTCAACAAGTTCAACTTTTACAGGTTCGATCATGCACTGCAAATCTGTAATTGCAACGTTTGTGTATATTTATTACTACCATAGATCGCATAGCTGGATTTAAGCATTTTGCGTGAGGTTAACATTTATTAAAGGTCAAGTGCTCTTCTAACTTGATTGGATTTGGTTTTGATTTTTGCACACATACCACAGACGTAAATCCCCCACAGAAACGGCTAGAACGAAGGAACAATTGCTATATGGCTACTAATAAAATGTCACTACTGTATTCATGCCTATATTCAGCAGTTTTACCTAGCATAATGTAGGCTGTACAACTATTAAACTATATAAGTATATATAGTATATAGCTGCACATATTGCGAAGGCGTGGAATAATTGTGCATGTGTGTAGTAACAATCGGATCAGTAATGTTTATCTCCCTTGATAGCATTGGTTGCTAAATATAGTCTTTGGCCCTGGACGGCACCACCAGTCACTGAAAATAGATACTATACATTATAATTCATATTGACGTAACCGTACAAATACTGTACAATGACCTAATGTGACTATAATTTTAGACTTTTAGATAGACATAAAAGTGCACGATTTTTTTACAATCATTAAAAAATTGTTGATTTTACGACCATTAACTCCACGATCGCTATAGAAACAATCGCCTAGAAGATTACAATGACATACCGACATAGCGTTCGGTGCGAGCATGGATAATAAAATAAATGGATTGGAAACTGCTGACGTCATTGACTGCATCCTTGTTGAAAAACGTGACGTCACGCGTATTGCGAATATTACCAAAGTTCTCGGCATATTTGTTGTTTTGCTATATTTTCCACTTTAAAAGGGTGATCTTGAAGCGTAAACTGGTCTAATTGTTTTAAAAACATGCCTAAGCCACGACAAAGTATTCAAGGCAAATGTTTTTCGTCTTTGTTTTGTATTTTTTTACATTTGTAGCTACGAAATTGGCGTCACAAATTTTAACGAAATTTGCGATGTATTTTTCACTGTTTAGTGCTTGAAATATTTGCTAAAATTGACTGGGAATACTTAGAGTTTTCATCGTAGAATGGCGTGGTTACATTTATTTGCTCTTTGACTAAAATGTTTAGCTGTATTATTGCTAAACATGCCGTTTTTGAGAATTTGATTTTCAACTAGGTTGAGGCATCCAACCACGCCATCAATCCCAGTAAAAACATTAGGTCACGTCAGCTAGTTTCCTATCCATTTATTTTATTATCCATGGTGCGAGCAATGCAATAAGGAAATCGACAGTGATTATAAAGAGGTGCATTCTCGATTGGTTCACAAAGGTAAAAAAGTAAAATGTCATCCAGTGATGGAATCATCGGATTCATCCCTGTCGAAAATCAGTACTTTCTTTGTAAAAAGTAACATGACAACCAAGGACAATGACCTGCAGTATGGCCTAACCTAACCTTTACTAACTATGGTGGTAAAGATTCTGCAGTCACAGTGTCTTTTGATGAAGATCTATCTCAGAAAAACGTGAAGGAACCCATGAGTGAAGACCAAACGGAACCAATGACAACGTTCATTGATGTTGATGAATTAAATTCACTGTCACAGCTCAGGGAAAATAGTGAACAGAATACGGTGTCGGACAGTGGAAATGTTACACCATCTTTAGGTCGAAACGCGGACAGGGTTGCCTTCCTCCTCAACTTTAATCTCTCGCTCCTTATCCTCGCCTTTTATCGTGTCCCATAAAATTTCCACCTATTTTAGTTTCTATATAATCGTAATTTCCCTAGGTTTTTACGTACATGTTCATCACAGGAGTCGGAGTTAAGAAATTAAGAACAACAATTTTTGGAATACTGATCCTCATTATTTAGGATACACAATGTCTTGCACCAGTACTTGTCCAATTACCCGTTTTACCAAAAAATGTTGTTGTTACGTTAGTAACTTTCCGTTTCTTTGTGAATCGCAGTCGTATATTTAGCTTATAATTGAAATGGCTAGGGACGACATATTTCTTTTTATATCAATCTTCAAAGACTTCAAAAGAAAGCCTTTCACTGTTTGTAGTCTTCTTAGATTATATAATTTTATGATGACGTCACGAAATCTATGACGTCATGTCATTCGGGCAAATTCAGCCCAGCCCCCCCCCCCCGAAAAAAATGTGCCCGTACGCCTATGT